CCAGAAGACCTATACAATTTCTTTCTTTTTGATTTTTTACCTGGATTACTGAGATGCATCAGGATAATTTGCATCCATTTGTTTTACAACTTTGTGTTTTATGATTATAAAATGTAATATTTTACAGATTTAATGAAAGAGGCCCGAGGCCAGCGTGTAAATCAGCCAATAAAACAAAAAGTTGTTGCAGGTTGTAAAACTAAATTAACACTGGCTGCTGTTTTATCACGAGGTTTTTAACCCTCAGACATCAACTGCCGACTACAAATCCACAAACTGTCTGGGCAAAATCTGTCAGAAACAGGGTGAATTAATTCATTTCATCCTCGTCAATTAAAAATAGAAGGTAAAGCTGGCATTAATGTAAACTATAAAAAATTCATTTTAAAGGTTTCAAATGTGTTTCCTCGCATTTAAAGACTTTTTGAAGCATCTTTTTTTAATCATCTTGACTTAAACTGCATTTAAATGTCAGAATGAACCATTTCATATCATGCAYGAGTCTAATTAATGCAACTAATCACATTAATCCACAAACTGCATGAAAAGTAAACTTGTTTTTCYTGTTTAGATTTATCCACAGTGCTGTATGTGTGCAAAAAATAAAACGGGTTTGGAAGATAAAGACCCAGAGTTAATGTACGTGATGTTGTGTGAAACTCCATCTGTTCTGCACTCCTGCCTCCTAAATGTTTCTTTTGCAACATTTTCCAGGACAACAGCTCTGTTTCATCACACATGTATGTTCAGCTCATGTTTAAAACCAGGTGACACAAAAAAASTAAAATTAATTGAACATATTCTGTTCTTAATGTTACATTTTGCTCAAGAACATTTTCTAAAAGATAAATTTAAAGTATAAAACCTCCTTTCCTCCAAGTTGTGATAGTAAAAAAAGGTTTAAAATGATGTCTATTTAAATAAATTAAATTAAATAGTCAATAAGAACTTCTAGGTTTAGTTTTTACAAAACAGATCAGAGTGAACTGTGCGTGGTGGTCCGACCTGGTCCGTAGGGCTGCAGGTACCAGGTGCRTCCGGTGCGTCCTGGCTGGATGGTGCTGGGGAGCGTGGGGTTAACGGCGCGGCTGGTCTTCACGTCGCCTTTCTTGTCCCCCGCCGTGGGGATCTCCAGGACTGGGATKGGGGTGCACTGGTTCAGCTGGCCAGCAGAAGACAGAACCTCTGTGAAGCCCTCCTCGCACATGCAGACCCCGGCCTGCAGGGGGCAGCACAGAATCAGGTTTCATCAGACCAGCAGCTGCAGAATAATCTGAATAATCTGTGTCTTCATCATCAGTTTGTCGTCAAATTTAAACTAATCTAAAAAGTAAAAATATTAAAAGAATAAATCATTTCATGAAAGAAAATAAACACAATAACAGAATCGAAAAAAGTCAATTGTTCAAACAAATGACTCATTTATAAACATTCCAAGCCTGCCTGCATGACAGTCAAAATCTGTTTTATGATCTGCAAACATGATTTTATCAAGATAAGCTGCAGGTGGCACCAATCCTCCAGCTAAAACTGATAAGAATAAGGATCAATTTGACCAATTTTCCACCTCTTTCAACCATGAAAATGGTGATATTCAGAGAATTTTTTCTCTCTTGAAATAAAAAAAAAAGGTTTTATGTTCACGTTTGACACTGTTGGAATAAAACGATAGTAAAGATTAGGTGAGAAACAATTAAATAGAAAATGTTTATGAAAAAAAAGCACAGAGGAGAAAAATAGTATTTTAATTAACTCGACACAATCTTACTCATCACAAAATGTGTGTTTTGTCTAACTCACTGATACACGTGGAGGAAAAGAGTGTACCATCATCAGTGTGGTAAATAACCATTAACGCCACATCAAATCATAGAATTGACCATAAAATTTGTGCCAGCTCTTGTGAGGAGCTGAACATAATGACTTTCATGAAGAACTGAATCAGACCACGTTAGCTGGCTCTCTGTTTACCTGCTGAACTGACTGAGTGCAGATTCCCGGCGCTCTCAGGATGATTGCAGCCATGATTGTCTAATTATTTTCATTCTGCTTCTCCTGTGATTGGAGGACTCTGTCGGCTCTACCTGCAGCTCCAGCTCATAATGAGCKACTTTTTAAGACCGCCGCAAGATGATAAAACTGGGGAAAGTTTCAGCGAGTTTAAAGCTTCAGGGGCGAACTCGGGTTTCTAATTTTGACGCGACACAGCTGAGTGACACTCGGCAGAAATGGGGTTTATATTTTTTACGCCGCCGTCATTTCATCCCCTGCTGCACTCAGGCTTGATTCAGGCGAGGTGGGTGCACAGAGCGACGCTTGAGACCACCTGCACCTTCGGGTTCAGGTGGTTTGCATTACGTAAATGCTGAATCAGCATTTATGTAAAGGCAGTCCTGTAGTGCAAATATTTTCCTTACATTAAGCTGTTTTATCCACTCGTATGTGTAAACATTTGGCTCAGAAATAGTGTGCTATGACTTAATATTTGTAACTTTTATGTTTTTTGAATTATTTTACTATTTATGAGAAAATCTCTAACCTTGTTCTTTTAAATCCACTTCAACATACTGGCTTCATTTTGTCTTCTTATGCTTCTTTTACCTTCAGTTAGGCTAATTTTAGCGTTGAGCTGTGGTTCAGCTAATTTGATCTGTTAGATATTGTTTAGCGCATTCTTGTTTAGCAGCTTATCTTTGCTAATTTTATTATTAGATTCAGTTCAGTTAAGCTAATTCTTGCTTTGTAGCAACATTTTTTCTGATTTTAATATTTAGCTAATTTTATCTTTTAGGGAGTGTTTTGCCAGTTCTTACGGAGCCCGCGAGGTGACATGGGGGGATTGTTTTTCTTTTGCGTTCCCACGCAATACCTTTGCCTTACCTCGCAATACTTTTGCGTTACCTCGCAAAATTGTTTTGCGTTCCCACGCAAAGGATTGTTTTTTATATGAACTGAATTAAATCAGACTTTTATTTTGAAATATCTGGTTACCAAAACAGGATGTGTCGCCACAAGTTCGTGAAATTGACATTGATGTTGCGTGGCTGTAGTGTTAAAATATCGGCATATGACATACTTCCATGTGTGGCTGTGTGATATTTTCATTCTGAAGCTGAATTAAAGCAGTAGGCTAACTCGCTAATGGTGAACATGTGAGTTTGTTAATAATCCGGCAGGCACAACAGTGATAAACTATTTTTGTGAGGGAACGCAAAAGGTATTGCGAGGAAAAGCAATACTATTGCGTGGGAACACACAAAAAAACAATCTCCCATGTCCCCTCGCGGGTTCCGTAAGTTCTCATCTTGCAGCTCATATTTACTTATTTTTTTATTAGCTCAAGTTTAGCTACAGTTAAGCTAATTCTTGCTTTGTAGCTACATTTTTGCTAAATTTAGTGTTTAGCCAATTCACACTTTGTAGCTCATATTAAATAATTGCACTATTAGCTTCAGATTAGCTACAGTTAAGCTAATTCTTGCCTCGTAGCTTCATGTAAGCTAATTTTAGTGTTTAGCTAACTTAATCTTTTAGTGTTTTGCTAATTCTCACTTTGTAGCTCATATTTACTAATTTTGTTTTTAGCTTCGGATTAGCTACATTTAAGGAAATTCTTGTCTTGTAGCTAAATCTTTGCTAATTTTAGTGTTTAGCAAACTTTTTCCTTTAAATTGTATTTTGCTAATTCTCACTTTAAAGCTACGCATTTGCTATATTTACATTTTGGATCGTGTTCTGCTCATTTAAATCTGAACAAACAGTCTGTCAACATTCACAGTGCATTTTCCCAGAAATAACAAATATTTCTAGTTTCTTTTTATGTTTACTTTGTTTTGACCGTTCTAAATGTTGATTTGCGTACAGCTTTGTTTTGATTAGAGGTTATAAAAAGAGCTTACCTCGCTGCAGAAAGACTTGGGCATGAGGCAGGGAGGGTCACAGGAGCTGTTGTCCACCGGAGGATTTATTGCTGGACAACCACCTACATGTGATATTTAAAGAAAATAAGATCAGCACAAACTTTTCTTATTAAAATTTAATTTGTAACATAACAAAATTTAAATTCTGCATCTCTCTCTGTGTTTTTAGTCTTAAGTGAGACCTTATTCATGTATAAAACATGAGATAATAGCTGCCACCTCCTCCACTCCTATTAAAAACAAAGATCCCAGTTTTTCTGTTTGTGTGAGTTATTTTCTTGACATTTTGTGTTAATTTCACCTCCTACATGAAAACTGCCACCGGTGGTTTAGACTTGTTGAGACTTTGAGCTGCTGCAGTTTTTTCCCCCCACTTTAAAGATAAACTCAGCTGCACTATCTATTATTCAAAACACTGCGTGGAAATGCCTTCTAATCTCTTCTGAGTCGAAGCCTTATTAAAGCAAACTAAAGCTGCTTCTTCACTTCCTGTTATGGCTGCAGTTCTCTTTATTTCACTCAGATGGACCATTTGTGCACACAGATAATAAATATATCCATGTTTTGTGGGTTGCGAGTGAGTATAAATATGAATATCTCTTGGTTGGATGTTTAGGTCAATCATCTCAAACCATCTAGAATCCTCAACACCAATCCTGGCTTCTCCATTGATTTCCTGTCTGTTTCTAGATTAATTTAGACATTTTATCTAAAACCTGGCTTCATCCTAACTGTGTTTGATCTAACATCCACACTTTGATCAACCGACTGGTTTCTCTTAAAAGTTTACAGATCCAAACTAAATAGAGGTAAAATAGTTGACCACTTATAGTTGAGACTTTTTAAATCTGTTTACCTCWTCTTTTTTTCTGTGGGTTTTGATTAAAGCAGACTTTGATATTCAGTTAGAGCAAGTTTTTTAATGGTTTATTTAATATTTCATATATTTCTTTGCTTTTATTGTTGTCTTTTTAGTTTGTCTAAATGGTAAAGCACTTTGGTCAACCTCTGTTGTTTTTGTGTGCAATAGAAATACAAATAGTTTCTGTCATTAAAGTGTACAGCGGGTAAAATAAGTATTGAACACGTCACCATTTTTCTCAGTAAATATATTACTAGAGG